TCTTCATCTCGGTCAGTCTTGGTTTTGGTCGGTCTCGATCTTAATCGGTCATAGGATCTCAGGCTTGGCAATCTAACTTCGTATCATGGTCCGATATGACATGGGGTTGGATCTTGGTCTGTCACCCCCTGTCTCGATTAATCATAAAAAGGCTGAGCTTGATTTTGACCGTATACAGATAGTTCCCTCATTTTTTGAAGAGTAATGAAAAGAACGATTTAAGCCATCGAACTTCACCTCGATATATTATGACATAAGTAACAAAGGTAACTGAAACGTCTCGTCGGTATGGTTCACCATGCATTTAATGCGCATCAGTTGATGGTCGGCCATTATCGCTTTGAACCGTCATTGAGAAATTATAAATATCCTTCTTCCTAACTTTTCAAACTTTACTTTCAAATCTTTTTTACTCTAATCTTCAAAACCCCTTTGCCTTCCTCAAAGCTTTGTATTCTCATATCCTTGAATTTCTTCACTCGTTTCATCACAAAATACCAAGCGCTCCTCTTCCGTCCCTTTCTTCTTCACTCTTAAAAGTAGAAATGGCTAAGACTTCAGAAACTATTTCACATAAGGAGACTGCTTCATCATTACGGTCGGTCGGTGAGGAACCGATGGTGGAGCCACGCCCTGAAGAGTTTTTTCTCGGGGGGTGTGTCCTCGATTCTAATTTCAAGGTTGAAAAGACTTCCTCGGTGCCGGATCGATGCGAACCAATATCGAGGTATATATGTTCGATAACCGAGAAACTCCTCTCCCAAGTTAAAAAAGATTGCAACTGGGGTAAAAAAAACACGTGGTGGTGCCTACTCCAGAAGAAGCAATCACTACCCACGTGGAAGGGTTCTTAAGTGTTTACACTTATCCCTTCATGTTGGGTCCCTTGGATCCGATCATCATAGATTTCTGTAAGAAATACGAGGTTACCCTTGGTCAGATTCATCCCTCTTTCTGGAGGATAGTGATACTACGTTGTTTCTTCTCAAGCAAAGTCGATGGGCTTCCCTTCACCCTCGACCACCTCATACGCCTATATAGCCTCCAACTCTATCGAGGGGGACTAATAAAGCTTCAACGTCGAGCAACCAGGGCAACTTTCTAGAGTATAGATAAGGACAAAGACCTGGGCTGGATGGGCCAATTTGTTTGAGTGAAGACTTCGGACTTGATCCCGACCGAGAGTTTGTCATTTCCTGAGAAATGGAATATGAAACGTAAGTGTAAGTCCTTCATTAACTCCTGTTTATTGTCTTCGTCTTTTCACTCTTTCTTATCCGCATTTTACTTGATGCAGTCGTTGCCTGGATGCCCGATGTGGTTCCTCAACTCGAGGACTGGGTCAGGAGCCTAATATCAAAGTCGACACATGCTGAGCGCGCATGGCACAATTTGGCAAAAAGTCGATGGGAGGCTAGTACTCATGGTAAACTTTTTTTCCTAACTTGGTGATTTGACCACGGTTCGAATACTTTACCGGGCTTATTCATTTCTTATCGTTTGTAGGTCTCGGAAAGGATGTGATTATGAGGCCCCCTTCTGGTGATGAAGAAGTCCAACCATCTGCTCTAAAATCGGAGAAAAAGAGGAAAATGGCTTCGAATTCCACAGACTCTGAGGGGCAGAAACCCAAAAAGAAAGCAGCCCGTAAACCTATGGAGAAAATCATCCCTTTATCTATGGAGTCAATCCAATGGCTAAGGGATAAGGTTGAAGAAGAAAAGAAAGAGAAGACTCCGGGTTGGTGGCCCGTGCGCGAGCTGGCACCGAAATTCGAAGAACTACTGAGCCGGTGGGAGCTGAAACTGCTCTGCCTTAAATTAATGAGATTGAGGGGCAAACTTCGGCTGAAGTCCCCAAGCCAGAAAGAGGTGAAGTTTCTTTACCTCAAGGTGAGAAGGTCATCGAGGAGGTTGTTGGTGTAGAGACCGGACTCAAGGCTTCCTGAGGTGAAGTCGGTACCCCAAAAGATTTTCCTGGGGCGATAGAAATCGGAGATTCCCCCTCGCTTGCTTCATTCACTAAGTCGATGATTAAGGATGCTTAGGCGGCGAAGACTTGCCATGATGAATGGGTCTATAGTGCAGAAGACCTATTCCGTGGCTATTTTGTCGGAGTGGAAGATGTTACTGGTCTGGGTGACTTGGAGATATCGAAGAAGAGCTCGAGCGAGGCTTTCTCGAGCCTTAAACTGACTACTCAATTTCCACCCCCAAGTGTTGATCCCGGGCGTAAGCGATCAATTATCATCTCGGTCTCGAAGGATGCTCGGGTCCTTTCTGCCCCCTAGGGGTGGTTAGCTACCTTCGGTGTTTGGTAACCGAAGAGGACCAAGCTAAGATGGACGAAATGGAGATGCCCTACCTGTTCAACGAAGCTCAACAAGCGTTGAATCGGGTACCCTTAGATACCTTTGACAATTTCAGGTTCTATACTTATGCTTTTTTATATAATTTCCTTTTCCGTATTTTGCAGGCTTCGGTTCTGAGTATCTAAATATGTATCTACATCGAGTTTTAGTCCTATTTGCCCATCTTTTAATCAAACCATAACTCTAGAATATGAAAATTCATTGAAGATAATTGTAAATGAATAATACTTCACTAATTTTTTTGTTGATATTAGTTATATTATTGAAGTTTTGTGCTTTGTTCAACATAAATATTAAATTATTTTATTTGATTGATTTGTCCTAAAAGACGAATAACCCGAACTGAAACTCAGTAGAGATCAAGTCAAAGTTTGAAGTAATACGATACCTGCAACCTTCAAATCCTGGATACGCCTCCGATCACAAATATTACATAACACACATTTTATGAATAAAATTCGATTTCACAATAAAACTACTACCAAATTGGATGAAAAGTATACAGTTAGGGGTGTTCATAAAAACCCAAAAAAGCAAACCAAATCGACCAAAAAACCCGATATTTTTAGGCTTGGTTTGATTTTGATTTTAAATTTTAAAAATCGATCAAATTTGGTTTGATTTTAATAAAAATATAACCGAAAAAAATAAACCAAACTGACTATAGAAGTAGCCTTTAAACACACACACACACACACACACACACACATATAATATATAATGTTTCTAAAATTTTATGGCACATATTAGTCGTTTGTATTTAGTCTAGTTCTTTGCTATTATAATAATCTAATTGTTTGCATTTACATTCTAGTTTGATTGATAGTTTTCTTTTGCTACGTACAAAAAATTATTATGTTAAAAATAATTAATTTTTAATTAAGTACTTAAATTATTCATCACTATTTGATTCAATTATCACCAATATATTTTGGTAAATGATAGATTTCTAAAAGAGCAATTAGTTTAATAGTGTTACATTGAAAATGTAGTCGCCAGAATATGTATTTGGTAGTGTATGCCTCATATTTAAGAAAAAACCCGATAAATAACCCAAAAAACTAAAAAAATCTACAAAACCGAATCAATAAAAAACCAACTTAATTTGTTTGGTTTGGTTTGGTTCCGATCCGACTTATTTGTAGGGATGTCAATGGATATTCGAAAACCGACTAAATCGACCGAACCGCACCGCACCGAACCGATTTTTACCGTAGGTTTTTATATAAATTTATAACCGCACCGATAATTAGGGTAGTTTTTTATTTTATAAAAGTAAATCGAAAAAATACCGAACCGTACCGAATAAATTTTACATGTGAAAAATATATTTATCTAGTAAGTATAAAAATAATAATGCATTAAATTTTTCTTTGGGCCTTGGAATTATGAAAACTTTTATAAGTCAACAAGTAATTAAACTCAAAATACTAATTTCTAAAACCTATTATGCTACTTCTATTTAAACTAAGTTATTTCAAGTATTTTTATTAGCAAGACACAAAGTATTATAGCGATTACGAGTAGCAATCTACAATGTTTTGAATATGCTTCCTTTCATATCATCTTTCATTTTTTTAATTCATCACCCTTTAAATAGTAAAAATATCTAAAGAGTTGTGCTAAGTCCTATAAAAGAATGTATGTTATTGCATTTTACTTCTATTGATGAATTTTACATGATATTTTAAAAAATACCGAAAATTAACCGAACCGTACTGATACCGAAGAGAAACCGACATGATTGATATGGTTTCGAAAAGTTTAATTTTAGTTATACATAATAGAATAACTGAAAAATTGGTATGATACAAATTTTATAAAATAACCGGCCGAACCGAACTATTGACACCCCTACTTATTTGGTTTGATATCTTTTTAGAGAAAAACGAATCCAAATCGAATCATTAACACCCTACAGTTATCCAAGCCCTCGAAAAAAATTTACTTCCCGATTTTAACTCAATTCCAATCGAGATTCCAGGAAAATTTAAATAGAAATTGAATATTTTAGGTCTTAATTAATTGCCATGTCGCCATTCAAAGGACGCATCGGGGCATGTGTAATAGTCAAAAAGCAGTTGTATATGTGAGTTACTTAAATGAATGACACCCATTCTTTCTTTCTTTTCTTTTTTTGTTAAAGAAAGAACAAAAATTGCATAATTATAATGCTACCTACTGATAAGTGAATGTCCCCTTTTCCCTGTAAAAATCAACTGTTGTCATAATTTCATTTGTTATTGAGGAGATTGCACATTTACTGTAATTGTGAGTACTTCCTTAATTTGCAACACATTTTGGCTAAAATTGTCAAATTATGCATATTTGTAACACATAATATTACGACTAGTAATTAATTATTGAAATTGGCTTCTTGGGGAAAAAAATAATATTGGAAGGAGCATTAAATAAAAAGGTGTTGTTGAATGTTGATCTAGGAATTTATTAAATTTTGTTTTTATTTTCACCTATTAAATTTGGTTTAAATGCACAGCAACTTTGAAATAAATCTCAAACATAAAGTCTCACTCACGAACCAGTAGATTTATCCAATCCAATCGAAAAAGTAAAAGAAAGCTCCTTATCCAATCTAAAACAAAAAGTCTTAGGCGGGAAAGCCAAGTAAATTCAAATTTCAAATCCTTCCTTATCGTTCCCTTAAATTCCAACAGTACCCAAAATTCAAAAACTAAAGAAGGAAAACTGAATGCCCATGTTCAATTCGTGACAATTTCTCAATCTCAGGTATGTTTTGCCTTCCAATTTTTGCTCTTTTTTTCTTTGAATTTCGTTGTTTCTCTTCCAATTTTTTGCCTTCTTATTGACTAATGAATAAATAGCAGAGATGGATTTTGATAATATGAAAAGGAAGGAACTACAAGCCCTATGCAAGAAACATGGAATTCCTGCAAATTTAACTAACTTGGAAATGGCCAACAAACTTTCTTCAATTATTAAGGTAATGAGTATTTCTTTTTCGTTTTTTGAGTTAAAATAGAAATTTTGAGTTGTTGGTTAAATTTTTGTTATTATGGTATGGGCAGGTAAATGATGAAAAGCCCTTAACTCAAGGGCGGTCATGTTTAAAGGTTTTCGATGAGGCTGTGAATGATAGAGAGTCTGATGTTGTAAATAGGACACTAAAGAAAGTGAAGTTTAGTCCCGAGAATGAAATTTTCGAGTTCACAAAATTGGTTGAAGTGAAAAGTAGAGGGAGGAGGAAGTCAATGTTGCACAATAACAGCGTGAGTGTTAGGAGTGATGGTGTAAAGATAGGCATTTTGGATAGTCCAGTTAGGGTTACGAGGTCGCGGGGTATGAATTTGGAAGATGGTGTTAGTGAGAAAAAGGGAAGGACAAGGCGTACAAAAGATAACGTACTTTTAGTGAATGAGAGTGAGGATGAAGTTGGAATGACCAAGAGACGATCTTTGAGGAACAAAGAAGTAGTATCAGCACAGGAAAGAAGGGAGGAAAATGAGGGTGTGAATGAAGGTTTAAGGACGAGTAGAAGAGTTAAAGGTGAGATAAATGCTAACAAGAGTGCAGAAGAATTGGATAAAAGGACGAGTGAAAAAGAAATTGATAGGGCAGAGAAGAGGGACAAGAAAGTCACGTTCGCTAGTGATGATCAGATAATGGAGTGCATGAAAGCTGAAACGAAAGCCAAGGAGATGAAAAGAGGAGGGAGAAGGAAATCGATTGCTCATACTCAGACCTCGCATGTCCAAAATGAGGTAGATGCTAAAGTAAGGGACGAGGTTTTGGAGAAGCCAGCAGAACGGATAACAAGGTCTCAGAACTTGAAATCAGTTGAGGATTATGTGAGTAACAAAAGGAACCAAACGAGGGGTAACGAAGTTACTGAGAGAAATGTAAAACTGCTTTGTACAGAATTTGTTGAATCTTCAGTTGAAGCTGCCAACAATGAAGTTAAAGTAACCACAAGAAGGTCTCAGCAGAATAAAGTGGTGGAGGAGGCATCCCAAACGGCTTTGAAGAGGTCAAAAAGGCAAGCTACTAAGACGGAGGGTGCAAGATTCACAGTTGAAGCTGCCAATGATGAAGTTAAAGCAACCACAAGAAGGTCTCAGCAGAATAGGGTGGTGGAGGAGGCACCTCAAATGGCTTTGACGAGGTCAAAAAGGCTACATAATAAGGTGGAGGGTGCAAGGTTGACTGATGATATTTCTAAAGATAAGATGGTTACTAGGGACAGGACTAGAAATCAGTCTAACTTGGTTGTAGAAGCTTCGACATCAGAAGTGGTTCCTCAACTTGATGAACAGGTAGAAGTTCCTCTTAGAAGAAGCGATAGGCGCAAATCTGTTTTTCCTTTGGAGAAATTGAGAAGTGATGAGGCTGTGGCTGTAAAGGAGAAAAGAAACTTAAACGTTAAGGATGACGAGATGGAGAATAAAGGTAAAAAAGACGAACCCCTGAGGGCATTGAAGCGGTCAAAAAGGCTTGCTACACAAGTGGAAGACTCAGTATTGGCGAAAGATGATATTGCTGAAAATAAAGTGGTTGATAGAGGCATGACAGCAAGAAACCAATCTAACTTGAAAAGAAACGTTTCTTCAGTGGAGACTCGGTGTAAAACGGACAGGCCAACTGATTCTCAAGGGACAGTTGAAGTGGGTATCACACTTGAAGAACCGGGAGAAGCTCCTGTCAAAAGAAGTAATCGACGCAAATCTGTTGTTTCTTCTTTGGAGAAATTAAGAACTGATGAAGTTGCAGCTGCAAAGGACAAAAGAAATTTAGATGCTAATGATGACAACGTAAGGGTTAAAAGTACAAAAGATGAACCCCAGAAGGCATTGAAGAGATCAAAAGGGCTTGCGCAACAAGTCGAAGATTCTGTACCGGCTAAAGATGATATTGCTGAAAATAAAGTAGAAGAGAGGAGACGCTCTGGAAGGAGTGCTGCTAAAGCCCATGTAGACACCAAGATATTGGACGGTTCAGTGCAAGAAGAAATTGCAGTGGTAAAAGAAGAGAGGAGACGTTCTGAAAGGAGTGCTTCTAAAGCCTATGTAGACACCAAGATATTGGACAGTTCAGTGCAAGAAGAAGTTGCAGTGGTAAAAGAAGAGAAGAGACGTTCTGAAAGGAGTGCAGCTAAAGACAGTCTAGTCACCAAGATATTGGACAGTTCAGTGCAAGAAGAAATTGCTGTGGTAAAAGAAGAGAGGAGACGTTCTGAAAGGAGTGCTGCTAAAGCCAATGTAGTCACCGAGACATTGGATAGTTCAGCGCAGAAAGAAAAACCCGTGGTAAAAGAAGAGAGGAGATGTTCTGGAAGGACTGCTGCTAGTCTCACTCTTGTAACAGTTTCAGATGAAAAGAAGGAAAGTGGTGAGAATAAACTGACAAAGAGAAACTGCACCCCTGTTCCAGAAAAAAGATCTACCAAGAACAAGTTCGCCCTGCTAGATTTAGATTCTCTGAAACAGTCCACAAGTAGAGCAAAAACAAATGTGGAGGCAGCAGCAGTTGATGAAAAGACTATTACTGCTGGAAAGAAGCAGCAGGGTCAACAAAAAAGATCAAATTTGGAAGTAGAAGCTCCTACATCTGAGGACATGGAAATAGTCAGAGAGTCAGACAGTAAAGAGTGTGATATCTCAGGGTCAGAAGGTGCTACGAGCTTCTTAAAATCAGGATTGAATGAGCTTGAAGCTGTTAAAAATGATGTTAATATGGTTTTCGCTGGAAGCAAGGATGAAGCAGTTGCTGACTCGAACACACTAGCTGAAAATCTGAAGGAGAAAGGACCACTTGTAGATGCAAATGCTTCTCCGTCTGAAAATAACTCCACATTTAAATGCCCTCCATTCAGCGATCCATTCAGCTCCAATGGTAGTGTATCTGAACCTTAGTTAATATTATGCATTTTCTTGTGAAGAATGCTAATTCATTCTTTTGTGTTTTGCAGCTAGACCCGATGAGAAAGTAGTTGATGAACTTTTGCAGTCTGACCATGAAGCGCCTCCAAGCAAAGGCCTATGTCCTAGTTCTGTTTTGGCTGATGATGCAATTCCAAAGGACATAACTTCTGACAAGCAGGAGCATGGTGCAATTGCAGCAGATGATGCAGAAGAATTTGATACTGAATTATCTAATGAAGTTATTGATAACTCTTCACTACACCATAGTGATAACATGGAAGAGAACCTTGAGTCTGGCCTTAAAGAACAATCAGAGACTGGATGTATTGTTGATGAAGGAGTAACTTATGGTGAACAGGAGCCTGCAAGCAATTTGGCTGATGATGCAGTTCCAAATGATTCAACTCTTGACAAAAAGGAGCATGGTGCAATTGCAGCGGATAATGCAGATGAATTTGGCACAGGATTATCTAATGAAGTTCTTGATAACTATTCACTAAACCAGAGTGATAATATGGAGGACAACCTTGAGTCTGGTTTCAAAAAACAATCAGAGACTGGATTTATTGTTACTGAAGGAATAGCTTCTGGTGAACAGGAGCTAACTGTAACGAACTATGCCAGAGAGTTTGATGCGGGGTTGTCTAGTAATGTCTCATTGGCCAGTGTAGGTGCTTTCAATCTGAGCAATGAGATGGAAGTTAAAAATTCTGAATCTGGTCCTCCCATGGAAAAAGCAGAAACTGGATTTATTGCTAAATGTGATGGAGATGCACCTACCTTCACAACTCAAGGTGAATTACATGCAGAAGGATTTGCAAAGTTGGAGGAGGCTACTAAGGAATTCTTGCCAATATCTCAACCTGATAATGATGGTATGCTTTGTTAATGTTTGGTTATGAATGTTTCTACCTATTCTTTGCATTTCACTAGCTGTTGACTCAACGTTTGAATGTAGCAGCAGGCCTTTCTAGTGCCGTCACTTTTGAGAAATCTTGTGATCATGGAAAGCAATCAACGTTCAGGCCCAGGAACAGTCTTGATTGTGGTATCCAAACTTCTTCGGAGCTAGCTAAATATAATGAAGGTGAGTACTTGGATGATCAGGAAAACGAACTGGATGAGGGTGTGAGATCCATAGAGTTCGAGGCTACTGAAGGACAAGAAGAGATTATTGATGATGAGCAGCTCAGAAACAGCAATGACAATGAAGACGGGTACTTGGAAGATCAGGAAAATGGACCTGATGAGGGTGCGAGATCCATAGAGTTCGAGGCTACTGAAGGACAAGAAGAGATTATTGATGATGAGCAGCTCAGAAACAGCAATGACAATGAAGACGGGTACTTGGAAGATCAGGAAAATGGACCTGATGAGGGTGCGAGATCCATAGAGTTCGAGGCTACTGAAGGACAAGAAGAGATTATTGATGATGAGCAGCTCAGAAACAGCAATGACAATGAAGACGGGTACTTGGAAGATCAGGAAAATGGACCTGATGAGGGTGCGAGATCCATAGAGTTCGAGGCTGCTGAAGGACAAGAAGACATTATAGATGATGAGCAGCTCAGAAACAGCAATGATCATGAAGACGGGTGCTTGGAAGATCAGTATAATGAACCTGATCAAGGTATGCAGCAGCTTGGACACAGCAATGACAGTGGAGGCTCAGTTGAGGCGGTTGCTTCCGAGAAAACCGTCTCAAGTCCAATAAAAGCAGTTCTAGATTTTCAAGGTAGGTAGTATTTTCTCATCTCATACTGGTCATAGGAATTTCATACGTATTACATTGTGATGCTCTGTTGAAACATAGTAGTATTTTCCCTTTAAGCAAGAGCGACTGTTATGCTCTTCATAATGATTAAACTTTGCAGTTAAGTAATCGAATCTATCCTTTCCTTTTCTCCAATTTGCTTTTGAACTATTGTCATTGACATCTCTTTTAGTTGCAGAAACTGCTGTTGTTGGTGATGACATCGCATTAGAGGACAGTGATGAAGAGAAGCAAGGTAGTTATGATGCTTACTTACCTTCTTGTTCTCTTTAATTTGCTCATTTCTATACCTTCTGTTGCAACAGGTGAAGAACTTAAAGTTTTGTTTGCCACTCCTTGTGATGTTTCACATTCTAAAGAAGAATCAAAAGCTTCTTTGGAAGGTGATTCAAGGTTGAAAGAAAATAAAGTTACTTTGGATAAAAAGGTCAACAATAGGGAATTTGATGAGAATCTCAACAGAAGGGGGCAAGGTTAGCTTCAGAATGCTTCTTTTTACATGTGTCATTTGTGTAATTTATTGCTGTAATTCACTTTTAATTCCCGCATTTTGCTATGTGATTTTATGCAGCTTCTTCCGTCAGTGGTAATGATAACTCAAGTCTTCAAAGTTCTGTCCATTGTGATGAACATGGCCAAGGTTAGTCCTGGACTTCTTCTTCCCTAAAGATTATATGTTACTTACAGCTTGATTTTACTATATGTTACAGGAGAAATTTTGAAAAGTTTGTTTGCCACACCATTTGGTGGTGGAAGCAACAAGGTAGAAATAGCAACTTCTATCGAGTTGAATGAGACAAGCAGTCAATACACGCACAGTGGCCATGCAAATGAGAACAGTTAGTTTTTCTTCCTTAATATGATTTCCAAGCCATTTTATTACTTGATTTATGTTCTTTTATGAAGCCCTATTTTGAAATTTAGGTTGTTGAGAACAAGCCAGTTAATGTCATTGCCAATTTGCCTGCAGTTCTTTTTAAATCATCATTCACCATATTCATTAATCACTTTGTAAGTATCTTTTGACATGCAGCTTTTCCCTCTGCAGGCAATGGCTTGACACAATCTGTAACTCCTTTAAAAGACACATCTAATGACGAAGAAGGTATTTCTAAACTCATTTCCTGGTTATGTAAAATTTCATAAAGCATGTCTAACTCATTAACTTGATGCAGCCGGAGAAGAGCTAAAACGTTTGTGTGCTACGCCTTTATTTGTTTCACGATCCATTGGAGGCGAATCTTACCATTTTCAAAGCCAATTGAGTGGAGAAGCAATGACCATGGAAGAAGGACTCGGCTCCAGTGGAAAAAGAAATCCAAGTGTACCTGTCGGTGGATTGATTGAGGACGAGCAAGGTTGGTTCTGAAATCCCTTTCTTTTGATATGATCTTTTGGAAAAACCAGTTTCTGTTTGCCCTCTGGATTTTCTTGGTTGTTCTTCACTTTCTTTTTTGTTCTCTTTGGTTTCTAACATTTGCTTAGAGATGTCCATTGTAACAGGGGAACACCTAAAGAATCTATCTGCCTCACCAATCTCTGTGAAAAGCACTAATGAAGAGACTACTTCTACCAAAGGAAAGTATAGTCAGAGTCATGAAATGGAAACTTTTTGTAGCAGTGGATTAGAAAGAAATGTCGGTGAATGTGAAGATGGACTTGCTGGAGTCGACCAAGGTAGTAAATTATCCCCATTAACCATAATGTATTTAATTGCAGTTTGTGTTTGTGTTAGCTTCTTGTACTAACACCGAAGGCTTATTTTTCTTATAGCTCGTGAAATCTCACATATTGCTGCTTTCAACTATGATGATGGAAGTGAACAAGGTTAGTTCCGAAGTATCTCTCCTCCTATCATCTTCTGTTTGCTGCTTGATTGTGCATATTTAATAGCTTGAATTCCTGATGCACAGAAGATCAACTGAAAATGCCGTTTGCTTCACTCATCAATACCCAGACTCTGAATCAAATGGATGGAACATCAAGAAAGACAGAAGAGCTTTCTACTCAAGGGCTCTCCCATAACACAGGTTTAGCAGTTGCAAATCCAAGTGCTGTGGATCTGTCAGAGTCTGACAGCATACATTCTAAACAATCGGAAGACAATATTACAGAGTCTGAGTGCATTAAAGGATCCAGTTCTCTTGAAGAAGAGAACAACGAAGGTCAGGGTAATATGCTGTCTGCAACATCAGCTAAAAGCATGACTCCATTACGGAAAGATGAGCTTTCATCTCAAGAACCTAAGACAGCAGATGTTGCAATGTCGGGAGAAATGGTTAGAGACCAAGGGATGAATACAAGACCTGAGAGCAGGTTTCAGGAAATGGTTGACATAGAGGAACACGGAACTGATGAAATAGTGGCTGACAGGGATTTGTTGCTAAGAGATACCTCTAAAGCTCTGGAAGAAGACGTTGATGTTGAAATTGCAAACCAAAGCACTTTTGCTGTTATTTCAGAGCCTATATTCAACGATGCTGATTTTTCTGAAGAGCAAATGCTGGAGATTAATAAGAGTAGTCCTGAGTCCAGCAAACCATCTGATGATGTCTACAATGAAGAGAATACTGAAGATCACTTGAAACTGCTGTTTGCTACACCAATCAAAGGAACAAGTCCGTCCAGATTGAGTGAAGCTTCTACTTGTCAACTGAAGACAGCAATGATTACAATTGCTTCTGAAATGGTTGGTAGGGAGCCTAAGTGCAAAGGGTTTGAATTTTCTGGAGAGCCAGTAACTGTGGAGATCATTGATGGAAGCTGTGAGAGTAGAAAAGGATCTCGCTTACTCAAGGAGAATGAAGAACAGGTCAAACGAGGGGCTTTGTTTGCTACACCATCCAAAAGCGCAAGTCCGCTTCAATTGGAGGAAAGTTTTGGTTGCCTATTGGATACAACAGAATTAGCTCTCTCGACTAAAGGCATTGATAGCAAGGCTAGGAACAAAAGTCTAGGCTGTCCTTTAAGAACCATGGAAGCAAAAGAAAGTTGTGAGCCTTCTAAAGACAGTGAAGCATTGGAGCACATTGAAAGTTCTCTTCAGGAGCCCGAAATTGAGGAAGCAGTGGCTGGCAAGGATTTGTTGCTAATAGATACCTCTGAATATCCGGAAGAGAATATTTATGTTGAAATTGCAAACAAAAACACTTCAGCTGTTATTTCAGAGCCTGCATGCGACGATCTTGAATTTTCTGAACAGCAAATGGTGCTGGAGACCCATAAGAGCAGTCCTGAGTCAATCAAACAGTCTGACGCTGTCAATGAAGAGAATAGTGAAGATCACTTGAAACTGCTGTTTGCCACACCAAACAAAGGAACAAGTCCTTCCGGTCCCGAGTCCTTCAAACCATATGATGCCATCAATGAAGAGAATAGTGATGATCACTTGAAACTGCTGTTTGCTACCCCAATCAAAGGAACAAGTCCTTCCAAATTGGATGAACATTTTACTTGTCAATTGAAGACAGCAATGATTGCAACTGCCTCTGAAATGGTTGGTAAGGAGCCTAGGCGCAAAGGGCCTGAATTCTCCGGAGAGCCACTAACTGTAGAGATTGTTACTGGAGGTTCTAGTAGCACTAAAGGATCTTGCTTGTTCAAGGAGAATGAAGAACAATTTAAAGGAGGGCCTCTGATTGCTACACCATCAAAAGGTACAAGTCCACTGCAATTGGAGGAAAGTCCTTGCTGTGAGGAAGATATCTTTAAGGATATGGATGGTGGTAAGTTCCTTAGCTCTCAGGAACAAAGTTTTGCACAGTATGAAGATCGTCAACTTCTTAATGAAATGATAGATGACACTGGTGAAGCTACACTCAATTGGTTTCAAACAAACGATGGCAGTGTTCTCAGAGAGACAGAGCTGGAGACGCAAAAAGGTAATCTTTTTACTCCTTTTCAACATTTTGAACCACGTGCACTAAAGGACACTCTTAATAACATCTGTACACGGTTTTTGCAAAGCTGCTCTGTGCAAAATTCATTTGCATTGTCTTTAAAATCTTCAACCACCTCCTATGGTAAATTAGTATGTTAAAAATAACAATACAAAATTAAATTTGCAGATTGGTATATATAAGATTAATTGCAAGTCTGATTATTCTATAATGAATTCTCAATTGTTACAATGATAAATTTTGTAATGGTTAAAATAAAGTGCAGTGGAAGAACAAGAAACTAATTTATCAGATGCATGAAACTTTTTAAATTAATTTTTTTGGAACACGGTATAGAGGGAATATAGTATTTACTCTTACACCTTTCTCATTTTCTATTTTGCAAAATCCCTGAATAGATGCATAATACTAACATTTATACTGCCAATGCTGTAGAAAATGATTCTGTCCCTCAGTTCGAGCTCTTGCATGAGAAAGGCGAAGTCACAGAAGAAGATGCTCTTGCTGAGGGCCAGGCACACGATCGTCAAATGACATCTCAGGAATCTCCAGAAGATGAAGCAGCAAAAGGTGGTTCTGTTAGTGATGCAGTTTGCCAACAACCAAACATGCTTCTAAGTGACATTGAAACTGAGAACATACCTCAGGAGAGCTTAAGGAAGACTGATGGCACTTCTATTAGTGCTGGTGAGTTCATTAAGTCTGTATGAGCTACAAATGAAAGAAAAAAAAGCTTTCCTTTTTGCATGAAATTTGTATATACAGGCCATCCATTTCCTCGTCTTACAGCCAAAGAGGCAATTATATGAAGATTTTGTGATTTTTTACTTTCAAATATCTTGAATTTTTTGCTCTATTAATATTTTTCTCTCCAATATTAGAACTGCTTATATCTTTATGAATTTCAGAAAGTGGAATTCTTGATTTTGATGCTGAATCCACTACACTAAGAAGTCAGGAAAAGGTTATCATCACTTTAGAGGAGACTAGGGGAGATGAAGAACAAAACCTAGAAGTGAGAAATACCAGTAATGCTTTCCAATACAACACTCCGAATAACGATGAAGATGCAAATGAAATCTCAATAGTTTGGCCTGCTGATAAGCAGTTCCACTTTCCAGAACATAATGTGATAGAAAATGTTGCAAGCACCAGGGAGTTAACTGCTTCAACAAATGAATGTCAATATGATTTTAAGGAAGTTGATCTTGCTGTTCAGAGGGATAGACTTACCGTTTTTGAATCAAATGAGAGCACGTCTATGAATGCTAAGGATTCAGTTCTCACCACACAAATGGACCTGCCTGGAATATTATGTGAAGAGGCTCTGAGTGAAAGTGATCAGGGGAAGTCCTGCGAGGCTAATCAACAGGACGAGTTTTCTTTTGATAAAAAGGAGCATGAAACAACAGAATCTGTGGTATCACCCTCTTATAAATCTCGTGCAAACATTAGCTTTATTGAGGAAGGTAAACTTTCATCCACCGAATTTGTATGTTCTATTTCGAACTTTAAGCTTTGACTATACCAATTATGGATTTGTCATGTCATTTAGGCTTTGCTGGTGAAGATACCTTGATGTCTGAGAAAAAAATTCCTTGGCTGAAAAGAAAGAACCATTTACCCCAGCAGGTGTAGCTAAAACTTGTTTGGCCGAGCAGTTGAATTCCACTGTTAAAAAGAAGAATGTCAGAACCATTCTGATACATGGAACCCCAAACAAACAATCCCAGAAAGCTGACATGAAAGAAAATGATCCAAATGTGAAGGGAAATATTGGCACTTTAACAGCATTAAGACCAGAAAAGAGGCGTGCTCTGCAAATCCTACCATGGAAATAGAAGAAACATTTCTGTAGTTGTTTTCATTTTTTTCTTCTTTCATTGGTCTTTTAGTTGATGACTAAGCATATATTTCATGCCCTATATTACTGTTACATGAGATAAAAGCCAGCAACTTTCGTTTTATGTTTTTGTATTTGTTTGTGAGAACTAAACGATTGTAATTTTATAATGTCTGTTATTTCATGGGTTTGATTTAAGTAACCAAGTTTCAACAGATCAAAGCATACTTTTTGGATTAGTTAAACTGAATTATTCAAAATTAGAAACTGGAAGTACACAACAGCAAAAATAACTCATCATAACCTTTTGAAATGCTGTGAAGCTAAGGTACCTTGTTTTACCTGCCAAGTAGTTGTTTCGTCACAAACCACCTGTGAGCTTCATTTCTTTTTTTCAACTGTAAAAATTATTTCATTATTTGACTTTTGATGCAAAAGATTTTGATGAAGCAAACTATTTCAATAATATATCCAAAAATGAGGAAGTAGAAAAAATCTGTATACGCTATAAAAAATACGATCTTTATAGATTTATAGCTTTGCGTCTAAAAAGAGATAATAATGTCCAACAAGCTGATCGTAGCCCAATTAAAATGTTCTGCAAAATTATAGCTTGAACATCAATAAATAGCACTGATGCAGTATGTACGAATATGCAAATAATAGCATCTACAATAATACAACAACATAGTATTCCAGATTCCAATATCACTTTCTTGAAATGGCAACCATGGAATGAAGTTCTTAATTAACATTTCTGCCTGCTTCCCTTAGTGAGAGAGGGATATCAGCAACCAAAAAGTACATAAAAGTCTGAGACAGGGAAAGTCTGGATATGGAATTTCAGTTTCTTGAAATTACAACAGTGGAATGAAAATTCTTAATTACTGATGAAATTTCTGACAACAATTTTTTACGTGTGAAGTCCCTTATTAAGAAGGGGTTGTGGCTTACCACAACAAATTTTATGTTTCAGTTGGTATTACAAATATTGGAACTCCACCGCACTCCAAGCCACAAATCCTAAAATGTATCAAAAGAATCAAGAAACACTTTGCAAAAACAAATATCAATGTGTCTGCTATTCTGCCCTTTATACACAATCATCAGAGCTCATTCTCTGCTTCTCCAGCTCAAAAATCTTCGTCGTCGATGACCAAATTGTCAGGAGATAAAGATATCCTAGTTCCTTCTCTCCCTGAGTTTGAGCTCTATTTCATTTTCATACAACCTTTCTACACTGAAGCCACATAATGCTTCCTATTTCTTGTGCTTACTCGCAGTCCAACCCGCACACTTCTAAAACAAGTCCACCTCTTGCCGTGAATGGGTTGACTCGGACCCATAATAAGGAAAAGATAGATGCCAGAAGGATAGACCAGACAACAATGATGGTTGGAACTTTATTTTGTCTGCCCATCACACCTTTGAGGAAGGGATATAGATGAACAATGACCCATAAGGCGAAGAAAAGCCTACCGAATAGAGGACCCCAAGAATCATAACCGTTGTTGATTGCATCCGAAATTCCAACTATAACTCCAATAATGTTAATAATTAACAAAGTCATAGGAGGAATCAACAAAGATGTCCACTTGAACAGATAAAGCTCAGAAAATTCCCCGTCGTCTGCTGCTTTGGAAGTAACAGTGAAGCTAGTGCTGACACCAGCCAAAACTTTAAGAAGACCTTGGAAAAGAGCAAATAGGTGAGATGAGGCACCACCAATGACCCAGAACTGCTCGTTTCTCCACCAGTCATCAATAGTAACACCTCCCCATTGCATCTCAAGAACACTCGTGGCAGCAATCATTATGAAAAGTCCCATGAAAAGAATGCTAGCATAGTTACTAATCTGCAAATCGCAATGAATTTTCAGCTAAAATATCATGCGATGAGTTGAATGCTGTGATGCATTTTAAGTTATGCCTAGAGATAAAAGATTCTGGAACTGAAAATAGTATCAAACTTTCAAACTGGTGGCCTAATCACTAGTCCCGGACAAATATATAAAGACAAGAAATTGGAGCAGCTGTCTCCTTCTAGGTACAGCACAACCAAGATAACAGGCTTCTTGCTCTAAGAAACTGGGGGGCGAGGGGAAAAAATCAAATTAATAACCGCACAGTTTCAGCTGTTGCCTAGAAGTTCACCTGTGTGAAATAGTACTTTAACTCAAATATTATTCTAAGGCAGCTTATATGAAAAGAGGGATATTTTGCGTACTGTCATTTCCAGAACTGAAGATACAAAAGTCCATGTAATAGGAAGAGTTGAATAGAATATAAAATAAAGCTCGAAGCAAGAAATCCTTACCTCTGGAACAATAAATTTCCCAGTAAGCAAACAGACAGCTGGCAATGCACAATATGCGATCAAAGGAAGAGAAGTCAATGGGTAGACCACTGAGTTTATGTAGGAAAAGCGCTCCAGCGGCTTCAGCCCACACCCATATCCATACCAAATGGGACAATGTTTACTCAAGAGAATTTCAACAGATCCCAAAGCCCACCGCAGAACCTGGTGAAGACGATCTGAAAGATTGATAGGAGCTGACCCCTTAAACGCAGGCCTTTTGGGCATGCAGTAGACAGATCTCCAACCGTGACAGTGCATCTTAAATCCGGTAAGGATATCCTCAGTAACAGATCCATAAATCCATCCAACCTGGCGGTGCACGACAAGTTAGACCAAATAAATGCAGAATGCATTCCAGAAAATAAAAACATCAGCATGTATTTTACCTCTCTACCCCATTCTGTTTTATCTTCATAACCACAACTAATGACATGTATTGCTTCTTTCAGGAGAGATGCTGATGTTGCTCCTGGAGGAATGCCACCATCTTCTAGAAGTGTTGAAGCAACAAATACTGGTGATTGTCCAAATTTCTTCTCAAGTTTTATCTGAGGCATAAGGGTTGCTTTTTCACTATCAATTCCTGCAGCAAAAAGCAAGTTAACGACAAATGAACGTACAAGAATCTGAAGTTTCACCATGAGTAAGGGAAGAAACATGCTCCAGAGATTTTAACTCAGATATAATCCAAAAAGAAGAAAGTTAAGACAGAGGAGCTTCGAAATTAGAATGTTTGCTAACCAAATAGGCAAATTGAAAAGGATCCAAACTCATTAATCTAAATACTTAAGCCTACAAATTAGCCTTAGTGGTGGCTTCTCAAAGTGTCCATTCCGTACCTTCAATTCCTTCCTCGATATTTTCAAGGGCGTGAATTTGTGGTGAAGCCTCTTTGGTTTTAGTTTTCTTTTTGTTATCCTTGGTTGTTTTCCCTTTCTTATGCTTCTTTCGAGAACTGAAACAACAGCAACACCATTTCGGCCAGCAGTTGCATGTTTTTCCTGGAGGTTTCGTCTTCTTTGGAGCATCATAACCATAAAGTGCTTGCCTCCTGAAGACACATCCAGTACCCACGTAAATTGGACCCTGGATCCCATCAAGTCCTTTCATATTGATCTGTTAACGCAAATGGCATAAAATTCGCTTTCTGTCAGGCAGCTAATAGTGCATATCGTATACTTATGCACAAACATAAACACTGCAACATTGCATAACAAAAACCCCAGAAGAAAGCTTCTTACGTACATCAAAGAAGACCACATTGCGGTTGGAGTATCTGTCATGCCTGTCAATACCATCAAACCTTTGCGGAAATTGTACGTAGCATATTTTCTTTCCTGAAGTGGGGTCCATCATAAAGCACATAGCTTCTCTCAGTGCCTTACTGTTATTTATATAGTGATCACAATCCACATTGAGCAAGTAAGGAGCATTTGATATGACTGCTGATACCCGCATCTAAAATCACATTTTAGAAAACGGTCAAAAGCCTATCCAGTTCTTCTTTTTTAAAAGGAAAAAAAAAACGGGNTAAAGCACATAGCTTCTCTCAGTGCCTTACTGTTATTTATATAGTGATCACAATCCACATTGAGCAAGTAAGGAGCATTTGATATGACCGCTGATACCCGCATCTAAAATCACATTTTAAAAAAGGGTCAAAAGCCTATCCAATGCTTTTTTTTTTTTTTTAAATTAAAAAAAAAAAAGAGGGAGGGGAGGCAGAAGAAGAAACAAACAACGACTTACCAAAGCATTCATGGCACCAGCCTTCTTGTGGTGGTCAAATCCTGGACGCTTCTCACGAGAAACATAGATAAGGCGAGGCAGTATATTCCCTTCAATATCACGGACACCATCATTACCCAGGAAGACCTTTTCAATTTCATAAAATGAAAATAGGTTAGGTCACAATAGTACAATCTTAAAATATCTCCATTGAAGTTAGGCTACAAAAGAGATCAGATTTATACCTGAATCATTCCAGGATGATCCCTGACAAGATTTCCGGGCCAAGGCGTTCCATCTTGCATAGTCCAGCCATCTTCGGGAACCTTTTGTGCCGTGGCAACCAGCCCATTTATCCGAACCTTGAATTCTTCATAGTCTCTCTGCACAAAAAGAATGGTAGCAAGTTGTCTGAGCAAAGAAGTTTTTAGTCTTACCACACGGGGGAAAATGATGTAAAACTTGATAACTTGCACACCTTCATAGCACGACGTTCCCTCACAAATGATGGATGTACTTTATTTTTCAGATAATCAACCTTCTGGGAGAAATACCACTCCGGGGCCCGAGGCTCTATGTTGAACTTCTTGCAGAATGGGACCCATTTCCTTGCGAATTCAGATGTTTCAGAGAGAGCCTCAAAAGTAAGCATGGCAGCACCATCGTCAGAGACATAGCACGAAACCTTGTCCACCGGATAATCCACAGCGAGAATGGAGAGAACAGTATTTGCAGTAATAAGCGGAGGTTCTTTCATGGGATCCACCGTACTAACAAATATATCTATAGGGGCTAACCCAGAAGGCTTTCCTTCTTTCTCATACCTGAGAAAAACATTTAAGGTAAGGACATGACCAGAGAGGCATGTATGTATACACACAGACACACCTATTATATTATGCATATACCTCAGAGATAGCCTGTCCAGGTATGTCTCTCGCACAATCGGAAACCATTTAGGGAACTGATCAAATATCCACGATACCGCAAACCATATTTCACATATGATAGAAATCAGCCACAATGCATATGCATCATTGACAGGATGCGTTATTCTATAGTGGAAAAAGAGCCCAACAACAGCAAGACGAACTAAAA